TGAGATTCTTCTACTCCTGGATTAAGACCCTTCAGTAACTGCTGGATAAAGAACCCCAAATAAATCAACCAAGATGCTGACTGGGAGAAAATGATAGTAGAAGAGGAAGTTATAAATACAAATTAGAGCTATGTAACTAAATGCAGAAATGGAGACTGTAATAACTATGCATATTTTATTTTATTTTTGCATAGCAGCAATTCCATAGGTATAGATATAGCTATATATATATGTAGAGATATAGCTATAGTTATTTTTATATACTGATGTTTATTTATATTAGTTTACCCATTTTCTGACCTCTCTTCTCCTGTCCCCTTCATCTTTTAAAAAATTTTTTTATTAGTACATGTATCAATACATAATGATTGCATTCATCATGGGGAATTCATACATGTATACTGCATATCTTTTTTCCATTTTCTCACCACTCCTCCCTTAATTTTTTTAATAACAAGTACCTTTTTTCATTAAGTTTATTGGTACATTTTAGTTGTACAATATGATGACATTCATCATTGGGAATTTGTACCTTTACATGATGTATCTTGGTTCCTATTTTTCCCCATTCCCCTACCCTCCCTTCAATCCCTCCACCCCTCCCTATTTACAAAGATTTCTTTCCATTTTTTTCCTTTTCTCATATTTTTTCCTTTCCCTTCTTTTACTTTCCTCTACCCCTCCCACTTCCCCTTCCCCTTTGCACCTTTTCTTCCTATTTCAAATTATGTATTATACATTTTGATCCTTATTTACAATTTCAGTTTCTCATACTAGAGAAACTATTCAGTATTTACACATGTATGTCCTATTTATTTCACTGAAGAGTATCGCCTCAATGTGCATCCATTTAGCTATAAATGTCTCAAGTTTCTTATTCTTTATGGCTGAGTAGTATTCCATTACATTTTAAAAATTTTTCTTTATCTTTTTTATCCAGTCTCCAGTTGATGGGCAATTGGGCTGTTTCCAAGTTTTAGCTGATACAAACTGTGCCTCCATAAAGATGGGTGCACATATATCACTGTGGTATGATTCTTTTAATTCTTTTGGAAAGATACCCAGCAGGCGAATAGCTGGGTCAAATGAGACCTCTGATCCTAGTTTTTTGAAGTATCTTCATACTGATTTCCACAGTGGATGCAGCAGTCTACACTCCCACCAAAAATGGAGATGTGTTCCTTTTCCCCCACAGTCTCACCAGCAATTGTTATTGGTTGCTTTCTTGATAGCAGCCATTCTTTCTGGGGTGAGGTGGAATCTCAGTGTTGCTTTTCATTTGCATCTCTTGAATGACCAGTGATGTTGAACATTTTTTCATACGTTTATTTGCTGTTTCTACTTCTTTGTCTGAGGAATGTCTATTCATTTCAGATGCCCATTTTTGGATTGGGTCTTTAAATTGGGAGGTCTGATTTTTTTAAAGTTCTTTATATATTTTAGATAGTAAAGAACCAATATAGTGAAAATGGCCATACTACCAAAATGGCTATATAGATTCAATGCAATCCCAACTGAAATTCCAACAGCATACTTCACAGAACTTAAGAAAGCAAAAAAATTCCATTGGAACAAGAAGAGACCTAGAATAGCGAATGCAATTCTAGTCAACAAAGATAAGATAGGGGCTATCACAATCCTCAACCTGAAACTATACTACAAAGCTACTGTGATACTGGCAAAAAAACAGACTTGAGGATCAGTGGAACAGATTAGAAGATGCAGAAGCAACTCCAGACACACTTAGCCAACTCATCTTTGACAAAGGAGCCATGCACCCTCACTAGAGACAGCCTCTTTAATAAATGATGCTGGAAAAATAGGGTTTCAGCTTTCCAAAGATTAAAACTAGACCTGTGTATCTCACCATGCACTAAACTAACATCAAATAGATCAAAGATCTAAACATTAAAACAAAAACACTAAACTGGCTGGAAGAGAGGTTAGGTCGAACTCTTGAAGACATTGCAGTAGGGAAAAAGTTCATGGACAAAACCTCAGTACCACATGAACTAGCACAAAGAATCAACAACTGGGATCTCATCTTACTAAAAAGCTTCTGCACATCAAGAGAAACCACAAAGAGCATGAAGAGACAAGCCATAATGTGAGGAAAAAATTTTATAAGTATTTTTTAAAAATAGTGGATAACCTTACTATTAAATCTTTAAGAAACAGAGTGCTAAGCTGAGACAGTGACTATATTAGGAGAATAAATAGCACCAGTCAGAAATGTGATTGTTATCTAGAGTTAGATACAGTAACTTTTAGCATTTCAGGTATTCCCTTTTTGAAATAATGATAAGAGTAATTTTGTTCATTTGAAGGTTAATCATGCCTTATGACTGAAACAGTATAAATAAGTACAGAAGTATACACAGGGTACTGAATAACGAGAAGTGTAAAATATGCCAGTTAATAATTATGCCAATAAGCAATTGTCTCTCAGCCCCATAACCAACCTTCTCTATTCCATTTTGCTATGCTGGGCTGAAACTGTAATTTTTATTTCTTCTCTGCCGTGAGGATTTCTTTTCAGTTCTGCCCAATAGAGGCAGATGAAGTAGAAGGAAAGGACAGTGTTCGATCCATTTCATTGACACATTTTGCTGTTCAGTGACACTTTCATCCTGGGACATGGTTGGTTCCTGCCTCCAAGGTGTTTACCCTCTCAGAGCCAGCCCTCTTCTCTCCAGCCAGGCTCTCAGTTTCAGCCGAACATCCCATCTTCAAGAGTCCGATCCCGAATATGCAAGAGTTCTCCTTTGGGTTCTGAGAATGTAACAGCTGTATGTCTGAGCCCTCCTTCCCTGATCTGAGCTACCAGATTAGCCAGTGGCCACCCTGTCCTTTAGGGTGAGATTCCTGGCTCTGGAGTTTCCTGGCCTGGGACGCTGAGCTACTGCCACTGTTCAGGTAGTGTCCTTCCTTCAGATGACAGAGTCAGCGCTAAGTCCTTTTGTCCAAATGTCTAGAGAGTGTTAAACTAACCTCCCCTTTCATGCCTGCTTCTTATAGTTACCTTATCTATGAGGTTTACTTAACAGTTCTTTCTCTTTTAAATTCCCTCTACTGCAATATCTAGCATAGTTTCTATTTTAAAGTCATAATTTGGCATTTGAGGACTGGAGTAAGTCATGTCCCCATTAAGAGATTCAATCCTTTATCTCTTTAACTAGAGTGCAATAGAGGGTAACGTATAAGTACTATCTACCATGGTATTTCCTAATTATTTTCTGGGGAATGCTACTGCTAAGATTTCTTTTTGCAAAATGATATAGTAAAATGGATTTAGAAATATTATAGTGCTCTAGCAAACTATTAAAGATTCAGTGTATGAAAATAAAGCATAATAAATGCAGTTGGAAGTCTGGCTTAGCTGGGAGTGGTGGCGCACATCTGTAATCCCAGCACTGGCAGGAGGATTGCCATGAGTTTGAGGCCCAGCCTGGGCTACAAAGTGAATTCAGGGCCAGCCTGAACACAAAGCAAGACCTTGTCTCGAAAAAAAAAAATTCTCTGGGCCAGGGATTTAGCTCAGTGGTTTTGCCGCCTGCTGTGCAAGCACAAGGATGGGAGTTCAATCCCCGGTACCAAAAAAAAAGAAATTAAAAAAAAAATTCTCAAAGGAAGTCTAGCAGAAAAGAAACCTCTTTGACTCAACATCTCCCCCTAAATTATTGAATGAGGGAAACTTTTATATTGTTAACCTGTGTTCCCATCTCATGACATACTCTGAAAAATGGCATTCTCTAGAATTCTGAAAAAGTCACACATTTTTAAATTTCATGAATTTTTCCAAGATTATTTCATTGGGGAGGAACCTAAGGCTGGCAGTTATTTTAACCGATTTTATTTATCTGTTTCATCCCTTTGTAAGTGCTGAGGGAGTAGGTAGGCTGATATGGAATGAATGGTGGGCAGGGACATGGCAGATGCCAGAATATCAGGAAACTTATATCAAGAAGTGAAATAAAGGAGGAGAGAGTACTGGAGGGGGTAAGTGTATACAGCCATATTATGTTAGATGAGAACAGGTGTGATTAAGGTTGAGTGACAGAGTTATGAATTCACAATTCCTGGGTAGGATTCTCAGCTGTAGCACTTCCATGCTGTGTGCTTTAAAACCAATCTCTTCATCTTCTCTGTCCCTTTGTTTCCTCATTTCTAAATGAAAAAATAGCAGTATGCACTTTCTGGAAACGTAAGGAAGATTAAATGTGATGTAGCATATAAAATGATGAACACCTACACTTCATTATTTATTACACTCTCTAAAATAGAAGCAGGCGGTGTATAATTATACCAAATTCATTTACATAGGAAAGAATAGTTAAAAAATAATATAAGTTGTTCAAAATGGAAGGGCCTTTGAAGAGATATAATTGACTCCACCATTTTATAAATGAGAATAGAGGCAAGCCTCCTAGAGAATTGAGATCCTTGTATAAGGAGCTAAATGAGATGCTGGATGCCAATCTCAGTCCCTTCAATCTTAGTATAGGGCTCTTTCAATTAAATATGAAGTTGCTTATCTGTAATGAGTTCACATTTTGTGAGACAGTGACAAGAATAGCAGCCTCAAAATATTTCTTTCTGGATTCCGAGCTTATGGGGTAATCTGCACAATATTTTAGTCCCAAGTGTATCTCTTGAAGGGTTTATCCATTTGGATGGACCACACTGCATGTTTTCTCTTACTTCTAGGTCCTGTTTCCCAGTAACAATTCATAGAAGAGCAACTGTTAAACGAAGCATCTGAAGGACTAGCATAGGAGAAAGGGAGAAGAGTAGGCTTATCATTTTTCATGGTAGATTAAGTAGAGGAAAAGCGAATTGACGTTTTTCAAGATGAACACAAGTCTTTTCAGAGTTGGTTGTCTCATATCGCCTACCTCGCAGAATCTCCAAGGCCACAAATATTGGGGTAGAAATAAACAGTTTGCCTTTGAGCACCTAAGAAAACTCTTTTCCCTGGCTTTATGGAACAGATCCAGAGAAACATGTTTATTTTTGTTTTATTTAGGGAGGGGGAACATATAAGAGATAACTATAATCATAATATACAAATCTTCCTTAAAATCATCAACTTTTTCTACAACCTCATGGAATTATGGTAAGCATATTACTTTAAAAGGAGAACTTAGTGAGATGAAACAACACTGTACTGCAGTATAACTAAAGCTATGTACATATGCATACATAATTTATGGTCTATGTATAATTTATATGTATACAACACCAAACTTCATTGAGATAAAAGAGCACAGCGAGGTTGAAAACAAATGTCTAAATTCAATATAAGCTTGACAATGCTACTGAAAGCCATTTTGCCAGTGTAAAGGCCTCCAACATGCTTGTATAAAGCTACTGATAAATATTTAGAGTGTATTTATATTTTGCTCTCTGGAAACTAAGCCAAAATAAACATTTAAGGCAACATTTTGAAGTGTTAGCATTTCTTATTTTATCTGCCTTGTAAATGTTATCCACAGTGACAATTAAAAACACTGAACAGTACAGACAAAGACTGGCAAATTTATCCTGAATCCATCTTATTCTCTTACTAAATTCTCTCTAATGTACAAAAAAATTACATTATTTTCAGCAATTTTTACTCTCAGTTTTGAAGGGCAGCATTATTGCTTTTTGTCCCACACATGCTTACTCAAAACTATGAGCTACAGATCTTCAATTCTGATTTGATATCTACACAAGTCTCAGAGCTATTTTTTAATACAGAAAATGAGAACTTGTAGAATGCGGGTCATCCTAGCTGCAAGCTATTCAACACTGCTACTCACTTCCATTGTGTCTTTGGAAAGATAAACTATCCAGTATACAAGGTTGAATCCTGCAAACGCAACTGGGAAGAGAATTCGAGAATATTGGTCTATTTTACTGGTGCCCCCAAAGGCTGTTGAGAGAGATGGGGGTGTAAGAGGCGTTGACTGAAAATTGGGTTCTTTAGTGAGAACTTTGCTGGCCTCAGGGGATGGAATGATTGGCAATCTCAGGGAGGTGATTCTTTTCTTCAGATGGTACTTGGAATCAGAATGCTGTGGAAAAAAAATACAGATACCCAGTGAAAGTAAAAGAATAGAGACCACCAATTAGTCACTGTCTTTTTCACCTTTGCCAAATATTCACTGACTACTTACTGTATAAAGCAAAGCATCAAAAAATTTTTGATAGCATTTGATGATGCTACTTTTTAAAAAAAAAAAAGGATTAAATCATTTTTTAAAAAGTGACTTGCTTTCATCTGACATCCTAAATGCAATACATCATTAACCGATATCAAGCATGTCAGGAAAAGACTACAGGGGATGCAAAGGCATATCTATCCCATAGTTACAAATAAGACCTAAGGAAATAGATATTTGTGGCACTGGGGCATTAATTCCAATTTGGTATATGTCAACAATTAGTATAAGGAAACTGCAGTTCAGCTCATTGGCACTATTCTTCTAGAAATGTTATTGGCCTCTATCTTCATATTTATCCAATTTAAAGAAGTTGAAATTTTAGAAAAAGAACAAAGAGCTAATGTACATCATAGGCCAGTGCCCAAGCATAAAAAGAGCCTTAAATTGAAGGAACTGACTGCTCATGCTTTGAAATATATCTCCTTCTTCTCCCAGGAATTTTATATTGCAGGCCTTCTACTTCCCATTCAGAGCTTCTCTACTAATCTCTCTCCATCTTCTGTCCCCAGAGTGATCCATTTACTAACCCCAGGATTGTTGCACATGCTTTTCTGTCATTATATACATTTTCTGTTCTACTGAAATCATAAGACAATCTAGTTTAGTCTTCAAAGAGATGTTTAACGCATCAATTGACAAGAGAGCTGGCTGGGTTTCAGAGCGGAAAAATGCCTTGCTATGGTCACACTGCTAGCAGTAATGCACAGTGATCAATGTCATTGCTTATTTCATCCCAACATGCTCTTATCTCTAAAATATTGAGGCTTGTTTGGAAACTGATTCTGTCCAATTCTCAGGTTCCTTTCATGCTGTTGGAGCCTAGGGGCCCTTCCTCTGATTTCTTTCTTTTCTTGTCCACAGCTTATCACAGTCTCTCTCCTCCAGGTCAGCTTGTCCTGCTGGGCTGCCACCTTCAAACATTTGATGTACATTACCCCTCATCTTGTAAAATGGTCTTATATCCTCCATGGCAGCAAAATTACTACTTTGCTGCCTGGCAGGGTATGCTCCTCCCATGGGTGGACTTCCATGGCTTTAGCCAGCAACCCTGCTGCAGCAGGATGAGACAGCCCACCTCCCCAGCTCAGGCTGAGCTGCAGGACCAAAATGACCTGCTGATGTGGTGACATTTGGGCTGCCGGAACAACAACCCCAAGGAATTTTCTTTCTGTTTTTTCCCTTCTGAATTTGGCTTTGATTTCCCATGGAAGTTTCATAGTAGCTAAATAATAGGAATCATCATAGAGAGTCAAGTCCAATGTACTTTGAGATACCATGATAAAATCTGTCTCTGCACTCAAAGCAAAAATAAATTTGTGTATTCAAGCCTAATATGGACATGACCATGATAAATTTCAAGTCAGGAATGTTTTATCTATTGCCTTGGTACTTTTCTAGGCACTCTGGACAGAAGTAAATAAATCATAGGTCTTGGAGGACAAGAGTTTAAAATAACAGAAGGCCAAGTCTTCTCATCCTGGACAAAAAATAAGTGACTTTATCTATTAAAAATATGTGACAGCTGAGGACTAAATCTGTAGGCTCACCTGTGTGAGGTTGGACCAAAGTAATGATACAATGATACATTGGTCCCAGTTCATGCTGCTTCTCTGAGAAATAAGCTTATTACTGTCTTGCAGTTTTCTGTTATGTTTCTTAATTCTGATTTGATTTTTAATCCACTAAATATGTTAGTAAAATATTCTCTTCCTAAGAGACCAGAATGTGTCACTCTTTCATCCTCCAAACAACACTCATCATTCTTCCACCCATTTGGATCATTAAGATATGTTCCCCTATTAAAATTCCTAAAGATCATAATGGAGTAGAAAGAGGGCAAGCCTTCAGTGCAGGTTTTCTTTCTAGGGTCATCTTAAATAATATATGCTACCTGTCTGAAACCTGCATTTTTTTCTATTCTAGGCAGCCATGCCTGGCTTATTGGGATGAAGTAGTAACTGTAAAACAATGCATCACAAGAATATAGAGCATTATTTTTTCTTCCTCACTTCTTTAGAGATGTGGAGCAAGAGAACTGTTTCTGAATCTTGGCATCATCAGAAAAAATTTAATGAGGATTGCCAAATAACCCTGGTCTGGAGATAAGAGGCATCATTCAGAATGAACTACCATGACAAATTTAAATAAAGTGGCAGTAGCTTGGGATTAAAGGCTTTGCAATTGGATTATCCCTGTCCTCGCTTACTGCCCCATTCTCCATTGCCTGTAAGTTAGGAGAAAAGGAGAACAGGAGAGACAGAAATCCCCAAATCATACTTTCATATTTACTACTTACCTGTGATAAGATTTAGACATGTCATAGATATCAGAAATTCTTATTCTCCAAAAGCTTCAAGTTTTTATCTTTAATGTTAATGATAATATTTTCCCATAAACTTTTCCCCAAATTTTTAACTAATTTTTTATTATTTTCAATGTACATATTCTTCACCTTCTCACTACTCAACTTACTTTTACTTTATTTCCTCCTTGCCTAGAATAACTTACATGGCCATCTTTACCTTTCTTTACCTTTCCTTCATTTTTACCTTTCCTTTATTTCTTTTGATAGGATCTTTACCTTTACTTCATTTCGATAGCAAATTCATATGCCACCTGACATCAAAAATTATACCTGTCTTTAAACACTTTTATGCATACTTAGCTAGTACAACTCCAGTGACTGTTATCAGATACTTCCTTCAAAGTGTAATTATGTCTCTTGTGTCTTGTCTCCTTTCCTAATGCGAAATCTGCTTTTTGATAGAGGGAATCTGTTGTTCATGTTTGAGTGCTCCATATTGCCTAGGCAGTACACAGTATATAGTTTATTCTTAGTAAATATGCTTAATCAACAAGGCAGTAAAAATTTAAATATTTTCCAGGACTTTTTGGAGGAAGAAGGAATGGGAGGAGAACAAAAAGTTTTAATAATTTTACATTATATTTTAATAGACCATTCAATAGTATATTATACCATAGGTATAATTTCTAAATGTTTATTGTTGACAAGCCATACAAGGTAATTTGTATGCATAATTTCACTTAGTCTCTGAAAACATTATTAATGTCATATTCATTTTGGAAGGGAACAAATAGAAACTGTAGTAGGAAGCTCATATAGGTAATAAGTCTTCACAGATGCCAAAGATCATATTCTTAGCAATTCTCCAGCTGTTCATCCCACAATCATAGGGCTTTGTCTATCAAACCCAGAACGACTGGCATTTGGAGTTGGATAATCCTTTATTGTGGAAGACTGTCCTATGCATCATGGGATACTGAATATCACTCCAAACTTCTTAGTGTAAGAGACTAGTAGCATCCTACACCCAAGTTGTAACAACCAGAAATATTACCAGACCTTGCCGGATGTCCTATAAGGGAAAAAGAGCCCCCCAGTAAGAATGTGGTTTAGAGGCACAGTTGTTTAACTGTCTAGTAGTTTGTTTGGGGGGGGTGGTCTAGTCAGGGACAAATATAATATGTTAAAGAAAATACAAGAGTCCTGGCTACTATTTACACTGGATAATCAGCTACTTCATAATCGGGAATTGGCAACTTGAAAATACTGGACAGCAATGAAGAAGGAACACACTGAATTTCTGAAATTAAGAGAAAGCCAATTTTGTGAGTCATTTAAGCTACAGGTCTGCATTAGACCCACCTGCTGTATTGTAAGCCTAGCAGCTTCAGTTGATGGTAAAATAGACTTTTGTCAGAGTCGAGATGAGGGCTCAGCTTGGGGCTGTCACCGTTTTGAGTGGAACACCTGTGGTTTTGAATTTTTCCAGGGCTCCCCTGCTGCTTAGTGCCATCCTGTCTTGAGTATTTTTAGAGCACCGCTTTGTGTTAAGTAACGTCATATTGCAAAGGTACTTCGAGTCAAAGTGAGCAATATGACAATCAATTATTTGATGTAGGGATAAGTCGTTAGGAAAATATTTAGAGCAATTTTCAGTCTAATATTTTAAAAAGCACAGGACAGTGAGTGACTCTTAATTGAGACATTGTAGCCAGGGCTGTGCTGCTGAATGGACAAAGCACCTGCTTATAATACAAGTATTAGGGGCACCAAAAATAAAAAAGAACATTTTTGACAACATTTAGTGTTTGATATGTTTGAAAAATCATCAAGTAATCATCATGGGGAAAATCAGAACTGTACTGGATTTTCCTGCATTTATAACAGCTGATAAGAGTTGGGAACAGAAATTACTTCAGGATCTCTGCAGAGAAGCAGCTTATTGGCATCAATCTGATGCATCCATGGTGCTAGAGAAAATCAGACCACTGTTTGGTGGGCACAGAATAGAGAACTGAGTGGAGATTTGATAAAATATATGGAGAAAGATCTACCCACTTACACCCCTGTCTAATTCACCTCATTCTCTTCATTAATCCATGGTGGCACAGTCATGGCATAGGTACTTAGATCTTTCTCGTACTTAGAGATTCTGACAGTTTTAATTTAACCTATAATTCTAGAGAACAGTGAGAGTAGTCAAGAGAAATCTTGAGGAAATTTGGAACAGGAAATGTAACTTTTCAGCATTCTATATATCACATCTCTCTATAGAGGTGAGTGGAGCATGGAATTGGCCTGGCACAAATCCTCATTGTAAGGGGAAGGGCAGGAAGGACATTGGCTTATTTTCCCCTCTGCGCTCAAGTTTTTAGCAACTAGCCCCCAGTTCAGGGTCAGGCTTATCTTTCTCTTCTCAGCATAGACATTGCCTCTGCAGAAATGGAGATGGTTTCAAAATCCTCCACATGGAGACACTCTTGTATGGCTCTTCTTCATTCTACCCTACATCTCTAGGCACAGCCTGTATTACGAAGGATCACTGACTTTTCTCTCCCCTTGTTGAGTTTCTTTCTGGTAGAAAGAAGCTCTGCCAGGGAAAAGGCCATATGATGATTTTAGCATTCTGCTGGCACATAAGAGCACTAAACACATACTTGTGGCATGAATAATTCAATGAATACGTAAATACTCACAAATGGGGGCCAGATTTGAGAAAGAAAAGAAAACGAATAAACAATGTAATCTATAACTATTGGCCTGGCTAATGAAATTTGGTCAATTTTGTATGTAAGTAATTAACAAATATATCTCACTCCTTGTGAAGAAGACATCCCGCATTAGGAGTAATGACAGCATTCAAGGGAAGTATTGATGGAGTGTGGAGGATTCACTCTTAGGAACACAGCAATAAGAGCTTAGCCCTTTAAAGCTCCAAAGAAACTAACAAACTATGCAAAAAGAGGCCAAAGACTGAACTTGGTCCAGTGCCTTACAGATACATCAAAGGTTCAGGTACATCAAAGATTCTGAAATCATAAAATAGGAATGATTCTAATCCCAAGATGACATAATATATAAAAACAGGAAGGAAACTGGAGAAAGCTGCTGACAGTTTTCCTCAAAGCCTAAAAATATAAATAAATTATTGTTCCAGTTCCAAATGCTTTAGAAGCTGAGAGCTGATTAGTCTACAGACCCAACCTGACAATTTAGCTGTAAGGTGTATTTTCAGTTTGAATCACATTTTTAAATGCTTGAATTTATTTGTCATTATTACATAAATTTCCAAGTCAATATTAAAGTGATAAAATTAACAAATACTTATCCACATAAATTCTTAATAATTTTCTGTGAAAATTTAAAATACAGAGCTTAGAATCACATGATATACTCGAGCGCTTAATTTCACCTCAACTTTCTCACAATAGTTTGTTATTTCAATGTCCAACTCATTCAAATAATGTTTTGATTACAACTGAATAGGCATTTCTAAATGTCATGATATTTGCAAGAAAAAAATTGCCTTGCGATTTGTGTAACATAAACTGCAAATGTGTAATTTATGTTTGTTCCTCTATATTATATAAGGCAACTTGCCAAGTTTTGACATAAACAAATAAAATAAATTTCTTTTGTAATCAACTCTATTTTTGATATCTTCAAGGTTTGTATTGTTTGGTTATTTTTGTTTTTAATTTTTGCACTTTAGACTCCTAGAAACAAAATTCTAGTCAATGCTTTAAAATATTTTAAGTGGAGGTAGGTTCAGAAATATAATTTTTCAAAAGGGAAAAAGGTAACTTACAAGAAAATGTACTTCAAAGTGATTTAAGTACAATTTTTTACACAGCTACCCAAAGGATCTGTTCATTAAATGTCACTATTTTAGGACTGTAGGAAATAGTTTATATGAAGACTGCAGATCTTAAATTCCATCTTATTAATAAAGTACACTCTCAAAATAATAGCCTAATGGGATGGTTGCTCTATGACCTTTTCATAGTATGTAAATTATATGTTTATGTACACAGATCACTTATAGCAAAATTTCTTATTTTGAAGAACATGAAATAATTCTCAAAAATGTGTAAAATTTATCTTGCCTGAAAAAGTGGCTTTAAAATATCTTTGACTGAGTTTGTAGACTACCATATTTTTGTCACAAAACCCATATTTTTATGACCTTTCAAAACACAAACAAATAGGAAGAAAATATCATTAAGTCAAAGGGAGAACAGGGTGGGGGGTGAATTCAATATATTTTTAAAATGTTTTTTCCAGGGATATAAACTCTGATGTGTTTAAGTCCTAGAGAACATGTTGGGGAAGGGATACCTTCAGTCTCTGTAATGTAGGTATAAGAAATTCTAGAATCAATTTCTACTTTTTCTACAGACTGGGAACTCGTATTTTCTTTTTCTGAGACTATTTCTCCATTTATAAAGAAGATAATTATAATAGATCAATGGGTAGCAAATATTTTCTTCTCTTATAATAAGGGCTAATTTAAAAATCTGTACTTACGTGTCCATTTATTATGGAATAGTCTTATTTCCTGGAGAAAATATATATTGTTAAATAAATTTCCTAGTTTATAAAAAAATTGTCATGTTTTTAGCCAAAGAATTTCTCACATTTGGGGAAGTAAAACACACATAGCTTTATAATTTTTATCATAAAATTAAACCAATGATTACTAAGATGCATGTGGTTTTAAGTTTACTACAACTGATCAGTTCCAGAAAATTTCCATTTCAGGTTCTTATTCAACTTTTCAGAGTAACAACTCTTTTTTTTCTGAGTTACTCTTTGTGGTTTGTATTAAAATAAAAATATATACTTATAATCAGTTTCACAATTTGTTTTAGAAACATATATGAAACTTTATGTATTAATGCTACTATTTATTCCTTGTTCAAAAACTTTTGGGGAACAGGGCTGGGCCACAGCACACTTACTGTAAATTTATGAGCATTTATCACTGATTATAAACCTTTGAACATAAACTTCTTGATGTACATAAATTTATTAAACAGATATCAATGTTAGAATGTTTTAAAATTAGCTAAATATTTGGATTATGACTCAAATTTCAGAAACTCTATTACTATTCATGTCTTGCCCTCATGAAATAAAACAGCAAGCAGATTTCTAACAAAAACTTGTCCATTCCATGAGAGTCCTTGTTTTCTTCCTTTAGACCCTGAAGCCTCATTAAGAACCTTTTTAAAACTTTCTTCTCTCTCCTTGGTATAAGTAAACTTGTTCAAAGGAAACATCTAAAGGCTAAGCAGAGTTTTCCAGTCTCCTCTGAGAGCCTGGAATCTGCTTGTACAAGCAAGGATGATGAAAGAATCATGCTACAAGTTTAAAGGAAATATAAATGAAGAATTGTTCCTTAGTCTTTTCCTGCGGAATTGGAAGCAGAATTGCTCTCGCTCTTGGAACTACAGTTATATAACTCATGCTGAATTAATATTATTTCAGACTGTTTATTTGCTTGCACTTTCTATATGGACTGCCTTTTGCTACCCAGTGGGCAAGATTAGAAAAGAAAACAATTACCACAACAATCTCAGCCTCCACAGGTTCAGTCGCCTTTGATATTGTCACTGGGGATATGGCTGTAATCTGTGCCTTCCTTCTGGCCCCCCGTGTCTGAAGACTGGTGAAGTAGTTGACAGCTGCAAATTCAATGAGTGCAGAAAAGACGAAAGCAAAGCACACAGCTATGAACCAATCCATGGCTGTCGCATAGGACACCTTGGGCAAGGAGTGTCGGGCACTGATGCTTAGGGTGGTCATGGTTAAAACAGTGGTGATCCCTAAAATTAAAAGGAAAGAGAAATACAGTATTAATATCAAGGACCCAATAATAGGAGCAAATGAAAATGTGTTGCTAGGAAGGATTAAATACTCTACCACTGCACAGTAATTTTTATTGTTTTATTATAATGGTTCATGATCATTATTCTAAGTACTATATTTCTATCATTCAAAGTTAATGCAGTGACTTATATGATGTATGCTCAAAAAATTATTTGTTGAACTGAATTAGCTTAAGTTTTGCACAATATGCGTCATGAACAAGTTTGGTAACTGCTTAAAAATAACTTTAACAAATTATTATCACTTAAGTAAAAGTATCTCAAGTTTATGATCAATTTTCGTAAGGAATAATATCTTTCATTACAGTTGAGAAGTCTATCTAGTGTGAATATTAACTTAAAATTAGGTTACTGTAATTTTTTAATTAGCCTAGTTTTATGGTTAAGTATTTACCCATGAGAAAATAAATTTCATCACTAATCTGCCAGCAGTTTTCCTATTTGAACAATAGGGGTGGGGAATTTGAACATTTAGGAGATGTATAACATTGATGGTCAACATTATTAGGCAGATATTCTTTTATAATTTGCAAAAAGAAGCCTATTCTAATACAGTAAGTTTACGAAGTCAAGATTATCTGAGATTTCAGTTCAACTCAGGTCTTAATAGTCCTATATACTACCTGATTTATAATGAAAATCAAAAAAGATAAATTTTGTTTCTGATAATTTTCAGTTACAGCTCTTTCGTAATTTTTTCATAATATTGCTCCATCTAGATGAGTATTTTATAGTCATAAATGGCACTAAATATTTAAGTTGAGCCACAGGAAATTGGTGGTATTGAACTATTTTTAGACTGAAAAAAATGAAAAATTTACATGATTCAACCTAATAAAAGTGAGATATAATTTACATATGTGTGAGCCAAATATTTTGCCCTTTTGTTTTCCTCAATTGACACATTAGTTTTTACCTTTCCACTATTTTCTCCTAATGAAAAAATGTAAATCAAGGTAAAATACTGCTAATTAGATCAAGTAAAGCATTAAGGTACTGGGCAGAATTGATTTGGGGGTTATTTTTGGTACTGGGGATCGAACTCAGGACCTTGCGCTTGCGAGGCAGGTGGCTGCACTGCTGAGCTGAATCCCCAGCCCAAGAATTATTGTTGAGGCTTTTTGTTTGTTTGTTTATTTGCCACACAACTTGCAATGGAATGAGGGTGATTTTACGTAATATATATGTCTGGGTGGCATAAGAGTCTGTTTCCTTTGTGGATTGAAAAATCCACTAGTGTGAATATTTACTCAAAATGCATGAGCAAGGGGTGGATGAGCAAATCTAGAGCACAAAGTGGGAGGCATACCAAAGACAGTTCTGGCTGGGACAGACTCCTTATTAATCCAGAAAGACACCTGGGAAAGAATGACTGTCATGATGCACGGAGTATATATCTGGATCATGAAGTAGCCCATCTTCCTTTGCAAGTGGAAATAGACTGTCATTATTACGTATTCACCTGTTGGAAGACATGTACATCAATATTGCCTTTGACAGTCTGCAAAAGGAATGCAAGTAAACATAAATCTGGCAAGGTTTTAAATTAGCATGGACTGGAAGCTAACAAGCAAAGGCATTCTTCAATATATGAGAAGATTACATGACTAGCAGCTGACAGAGCAAGGAGACTATTAGTTCTTGTTTTCAGTTTGGTTCTTTGTGCAAAACACCTTATTCCAGGATTATACAAATCTTTATATCCGCCCAGTTGCAAAACAAATTATGAAGTTAGGTATGTGCCACCTCAAAGGGCAGTTAGTTAAGAATGGTTAATATGGAAGAGAAATGAATAGGTATTTTGAAATGTACACTAGCATCATCTTGGTCAGATTCTTACCTGTGTTAGATTTAATTGTCTCACTAGATACTGTCTGTCCAATCAGATCATACTGGAGGAGGCTGGAAGATTCTTCGGGGACTTCTACTGAGTAAAGTGGTCCTTTTTTCCATGTATATATGATTTCACTTTTGGGGTAAGCATCTGAATTTTTGAAACAAACATAGCCGTGAATATGTTGTCTTTTTTCATAAAAGCATCATTTGTTTATAGAAAAAAGATTTGCAACACAAATTTTCTTTTTGTTTTTCCTTAATCTCAGTGACTAAAACCTCTATGGTATGCATAGTAAGCATATTTCTGAAATCACATTGAAAGTGTCATAATAGTATTTAACTTTTGTTTTTCAGTCTATAAAACCAAATCATAACATCATTATTTGGCTCTCAGGGGCTTTCTATCACTTACAACTCCCAAACTTGAGTGGACAAACATGTCCATCCATAGGAAAGTTAACCAGTCTCATGGGACAGTCAGCGTTGATGGTCAGCCTAGGGACATTGAAACAAATTATTGTGAGTTAGCACAGGAGTCAAGTTGTTTTGGTGGAGGTAAAAGAATTAGAGAAACCTCACCTCATGGTGTATAGAATTGTTCCATTCTGCATTATTCTGAAGAGTTTATTAGGGGTTGTCATGTTGTGAGCAATTGACTTTTTTCCGTTTCTGAAAAAAGTGTCAGGTGTCCAGATTTTACTGACCATCAAGTTATTTAAACTCAGAATCTCAGCTGGCCCCCCAAACTTCAATCTCTCATCAGTCCAAGTCTGGCGAAAGAAAACATCCATTGTATATTCCTAAGGAAAAATCAAACATTCACACAGCCTGCAGAAATGGTTTGCTAAAATAAGTCCATTCACTAGCGAATATACCCCATTCAAAAGTGTAAGCAATACATCAATCTTTTATTAGCAACATTTTATTGGCATAACTTCTCCAGTAAAGCTGAATAATAATTTAATAATGAGTAAATAATTATTTTATACTCAATGAATGATTGATGATTATACTTATCGAATGATTTAGAATCACTAAATAATGATTTTGGTGAATCATTTTTCTCAAAATTGAAAAATCTGTAATACTATTATGAAAGATGGTGCTGTGTATGAGAACCTCTTCTTCCCATCGTGACTCTCCTTAGCATGCTTCTTCTGTACCTGTCCAGCCTGCATCCACCTATATGTATTATCCTCCTTAATTTTCAAGAAAAATTAATGAAAAACTGTGTAGTCTGGGCTTCATGCTGCCTTTCCTAGCATCAAGTATTCTAACCATTCTTCTTAGCATCTCACTCACCTTCAGTGGGTCTTGGACCATTATGGTACCATTCATTAAAGCACAGATAAGAACAGATAAAGTTTATTGAATAGCGCATTATGAACCTACATCCTAATTATTTATATTATTATTAGACAATAAAAAAGCAAATGTTGCCATGATTATTCTAAATGTCACTTAAGTATGCATATCAAAATTTTGATTTTTAATTTTGACTTATGTGAAATAACATTAAAAATGTTGAGTTGTGAGAAAGGCTATAGCAGCAGTCAATGATAATTTACAACTTATTGTTATATCAAAGCATTGCCAATAACAGTCTTCTCTACTTTATAAATTCCCTCTCAGTATTTATTACTATAAGTTCTGATTATATTTTTAAACATAATTTAATAGCAATATACCTATAGAATAATGATCTAAACTCTATTAGGGCTTTATCTTAAAAGAAAACTTTAAAAAAGAAACACAAGTATGAAACAAAATCCCAAATATATCCAGACCTAAAAATTGTTGTGTTTTTTTCATTCTTGGGGTGAATGATTATTTAAATGAAAAATGATACTAAAAATTATCAGGATTTTGAGTTATGCTTTCTTTCTCCTCAAGTTTTAAGATATATGTCTAGTAATAAAGCCTTTCCTCCCCCTCCATCTTCCATGTTTGCGTTCTTTCTTGTCTTTCCCCCTCCCGTTTCTTTCCTCTTTTATTCCTTCCTTCCTTTTCTTCTTTTCTTATCAACTCAAAAGTAAAAGATGAAAAAGTCTCCAATAGTTTTTTCTCCAGAATTTCATTTCCCTAAATAAAAATTAATGACATACCTCTTTAAAGATAATTTTGTGTGTTTACACATTTGTATTGATATTTTAGTGTCAGGGGGAATGTTACCAGACAACTGTGAAAGAATATCAGTATGCACTTTGTTCTAGAAGACTAGTTTGGGTTTTCACAGCCACTGACTATAAATACCCTCTTACGAATCCTACAGCCATCTGTACCTGGAACTGAGTGCTCAGAACACCCACTGGTCCATCCACAATGTAAAAGGTGGAATGCATGAGCCTTTCCAAGTACTCCTTTGCTGCTTTAGTAAAGTATGCTGATAATTATGTTCTACAAAAGACAGGTATGTTTTAAATTTCATAGAACTATATGGCATAGAACCATATGTTTTTCCTATTCCTACAAATTTAGTTAGACTTTGTGAAGGAGAAAGTCTTATCTTTGTAGGAATAAGTACATGATATGTGAATGAAAACAGGATGTCATCTTAAAAAGTTCCTCAGTTTAAAATGTTCAAGCAGAACCCTTCGTGAAACATGAAAGAGATTAAGCCAGTGGTAATCTGCACTATTGGCCATGTCCTCCCAGCATGAATCCACATTTTGCATCATGAATCTGAGGCCAGGCAGGTGGCAATACCCATTTTCATTAGTACTGGGACTTAGCTCTCCTCTCTTAAGTAAAAATATCCATCTTATGCAGAGCTTACTCACCATCTCCACATCTGACACAGGCCCAAAACTGGTCACATAAATGTCTGTTTTGACTTCAGTGACAGCACCTGAAATTAGCCCCAACAGTTAGGGTAACTATCGGCAGTGATGTTGAAGGGGGCCCAGGAAACTCCACAGAGTTCTTTGCACAGGCAGAATCCGCTACCACAGCAATATGATCCAGCCATGGGAGACTTTGTGTCTTTCAACTCTGAAAACTCATATCAGTTGCCTTATTTTGCATTTATTCTAGTAAAATTGGGGAAATATTAAGAAATCCAAGGGAAATAGATTGAAGTTCTAAAAATAACAATAGCCATATAAATAAATTATACATATATGAATAAATATATATATGAATAAAAATATATATCTTTCATGAGCCAAATGCTAAGAAAATCATTTTACATGGAGAACCTCATTCTACACTCACCCAAACCTGAGACAAATACACTCATATGCCCACACCGCAAAGGTACTGAGGCTTAGACAGTTCAAGTAACATGCAGAAGGTCACCAATTGAGAAAAGAACAACACTGGATAGGATGCAGGCATGGCGTCTCTCCAGTACCCCTACACCTTGCCATTCTGACAAACTACCCCCTTTCTGAAGCCTCTGTGTCTTGGAAGGTCAGTGAAAGAGGAAGAAGACTACAGATATTGAGTCTAGCAACAATACAGCTTCTTACCTCCAAATCCTGGCCGCAGCCGATTGTCATAACCTTCAAGCAAGTTGTCCAGGATCCGACTAATGTTCTCTGAGTAGAAATTGCCTTCATCTTTAAGTTGTGCCAGGGAATTTCCTAGCCTGAAGGTAGAGAGTTGATCAATGATTCTCACTCTGGCCTCAGAGAAGATATGTTGTCTAGTAGATCCTAGTCCACCCCCAAATAAATGTATTCTGTATTACCCCTGGCTTCTGTTACAATATGGTATAGAAGTCATCTCATGGATGCATGCTTTTCTCTCCTCTGGGCTAAAAGGAAAAATCAGGAAAAAACATCTTACCATAGAATAATGTACAGGCAAGACAGAAGTGACACCATCCTATGGTTTACTGGAATATTCCCAATCAGCTCTCCTGTGATAATCAGCTAGAGAATTTGTTCAAATCCCTCATATCCCTCTTCCTTGCTTGCTTCCAGTCAGTAATCCAATAGATGAAGAAAAACTTTGATGGTTCCCCTTGCTTTTGTTTTTCTTGTTTCTGTCTTTTCACATGGAACAAGTTAGTTTATGGTCCTAGACCATATCCTGCAGACACCCAGGCTCCTTTGACTGACTCAGTGGAGAGATGCACAGTCCGAAGGGACAGTGCATGGTTGGAGAGCAGTGACAATAATCGAGTAAGGCATCAGGGGATATTAGAGGGAGGAAATCCGCTGCTAGTTTTGGCATGGAATTAGCAGGGCCTGTGAGGAAATCTGGAAAGCAGTGGCATCTTGCTGATTGAGATTATGTTCCAATGGCCTCAGCATTTATTATTTCTATGGTTCACAGAAGGATTCCTACACAGCTCTTACTGCTTACAAGGAAAATAATATTGGGACTCTCCTGGATTCTCTTTCTGATATTCATCAACTTTATTGCTTGCAGACACATCCTTCATATTTAAAAACTGCTTCCCACTATATATTTACCAACACTTCTGACACACCAGAACTGTTGCTGGCCATCTTTCTGTAAATTATTTTTTAAAAATGTTTGTGTATTCTTCCTCTCGTAGTTGTGGTTTCTGAAGTAAATATATGGATTCTACTGTGATCTTCAGAAACTTGGTCAGTTTCATGAGCTCTGCCAGTAGGAAACAGTGACTGAAATGGCCAGATCGGGTTTCCCATGCTGAAATGCTACAAGAATAAAGTACTCATAGATATGGTAAAGGAGAATGTTGCTGGTGCTATTTTACAAGGATTGTCACAGGTCAAAAGCAAACTGAGTTCAAGAGTTAGAACTGTATACCAGTTCTGGCAGGAGGAAGTGGTAGTAAAGGGTCCACTTGTGCCTTAAAATTTTAATCTCTAAGTAAAAATAGCAAAAATTATGTTAATAATAATGCATTTAATATAATTTTAAAATGTAATAAATATAAGCATTTTGAAAATTCAGGAACATAAAATAAAGAATCAAATATCTCAATTCACCAACCTCTTGCCAGTTCCATTTATTCATCCAGGTCATAATCCATATTTTCAGAATCTGAATTCCACAACAGCCATGGGAACTGTACATATATATAGCATAGTTTGAGAGTTACATCTAAGGACAAGCATAAATCATCTATGAAGCATTTCAGCAAATTAGCTGTAGCCCAAAAGAAAACAAGATTTGCAGATTTGAAGATTTTAAGATTACTGAAACTCACAGTTACATAAAATTTTCTGGTTACCTATCAAAAGGCTGAATTCCTTCCAAAATTCCTTGTACATGGTTTTAAGCTGCTGTCTTCTCTTACTGTTTCACTTGTGCTGCAAATGAAACTAACCCTTTCCCTCACCTTTGAATTCATATAAAATAATCTCTCCGGGAAAGACCACACGACAGTCATTTAAACAAAGATGCCTACAATGCTCACTCTTATGCAAGGAAAATTCTCCTACATGTTCCTGTTCATTGCAGAATCTGATTTCCACATCTGGTGTCATTTGGTTCACTCTCCTTTAAAACATGGTCTCTGGCGACCACAATATATTTTTCACTCAAATGTATTGCGCTTCTATTTAAATCCCTAAATATCTGGTATACCTGATGTTGTTAAATAGCTCTGTTCATTTTTATTATATGTTACTTCTTTATTCAAACATAGATACCCATATGAACTGATACCTTGTTCGATTTTACCATTTCTATCAAAATGTTTAACATCCATCTCTGATTTATGTAATTAGGGAGAAAGTTCAGTGAGACTAGATTTTTTTTTTTTTACATAGGAAAAAAAATTGATCATGGGTGAGACTGGGCATGTTCCCATATATTTCTCTAGCATATGTATACTTTTCTTATTAAAAATAATTTATTATCACTTCTCGGCCTTTTGACTAAGATCAAGTGTAAAAATAATTTATTAAAAAATGAACTAATATTTGTTACATTTGTCTCTAAATAAAAGATAAAAATATGCTTCTATTTTTGGTAAGTTTTAATTAGTAATGAATTCATGAAGGACAAAGAAGACCTCTTTCTCTAAATGAGTGAGAAGCTATCCAAGAACTAGAAGAGATGATAAACTAAATAATCTCATTTATTTCACCTCTGTGGACTTTACCTTAAATCCTTAAGGTCCTTAAATTCTGTAATTCTAAGAATTCAAATTGTTATATTAGTATTTACATGTAATATAGTCCCTTGTTCACACATTTCTGTAAAACTGAGGCAGAGAAAATCTATTAGCATCAACACTAAGGAAATTACAATTACTTTTTTCTTATGGAAATAGCAAGAAAAGAGTTTTAAAACATGCCAATGGCTATGTCTTTGGAATATATATAATCATTTATGTAGCAGTTTGATTATATATATATATATGTATCTATATATCAAGCATCAGAGCTTCCTCATTTAGATAGATGTGTTTCTCTGAACAATTTGAGAATATTTATGTCACACCTGTCCATATTACAGTAGTTTTTCAAAAATAAAATGAAAATGGTCAAGAAACATGAAAGATGGTTATGATCACCAGAAATTAATGAAATGCAAATGAAACAAAAACTTTGCAAATTCATCTTGTGATCATAAATCATTAATAGCTCTAATAAGTTGATGTTCAATGAAGTATGCTACTTGGGGAAGGTTAATTCTTCATTAGATATGACTGTGCTACATACTTCAGATTATTTAAAATCTCTTAAATTTGCCCACTGAATATCTCTAGAGCTGTCTGTGCATAATAACAACCAAATATCACCCTTACATTTCAAAATGCTTTTTAGAGCCAAGTTGTGGCTTCTAATTAAAATTAATTGTGAGTGCAGGATGCTTGAATTAGACTGGAGTTCATAGTTAAAATATGTTAAAGTCTCCACTGGCTTAAGCTCAAAGCAACTCCTGATAACTGAGCAGATACACTTCTGCATCTACAAATTCATAGACCAGCTTACAACAAGTTGGCAAATGTCATCCCCTCAACCCATCTCCATCACAAATTAACTACAGACATTCATCACTTACCAATGGATATATGTACTGAGAAATGCATCAGATGCATCTTTAGGTGATTTTTCTCTTTGTACAGACATCATAGAATGTATTTATACAAACTCAGATGGAATAGTCTGCTATAAAGCTACGTTATATGGCATATGCTCTTGTATATATGATTCATTGTCCTTCAAAATGTTATGTGGTCCACAACTTACTATAATTGGACAATGTAGAAAAGAAATATATCTTTGGGAAAGATTCTTATTACCATCCTTAGGATGCAAATAGTAGTTTCCACCCTAACAAATAAGGGAGATGATAAGTCATTCTCCTCTAAACACTGAGCATGGCTGGAAGAACCAACTGATAATAATTTTCTTGTCAATACACTCACTGTGAAAGAAATGAAATGTTTCCATGTAGGCACCTGAGAACATGAAGAATTCTAGATCATTCTTCTAAAGAATGAATGTATACATGCACATAGACATTGGCATGTCTTCCTTCTGGTCCATGGACAGGCACAGCAGTGTAAGTAATTTGCCCAATTCCATTCAACTAATAGTGTAGAATCACAATTCAAAACCAGAATGTTTTAGGTAGAAGGTAATGCCAGTGAACAGAAGTCAGTAAAAAATAAGGAGTTGCAGTTCAAAAAGTAAGGAGTTTCTAAAGAAATAATTTGTAGCTGTCATTATCTATTCAAACATGAAATAGGCTTCTATAGGAGAAAGAGAGTTTTCTGTTAACAACTATGGATGGGGATGTATGTTTCAGGAGGAAAATAACATGATTCCTAGAACATTCAGCAGGTCACTGAGGCTATTTGGACATATTCTAAAGAACTGCTTAACAGAAAGCACAAGTGTATGTTTGGATTTAAAGAGTCTGTTATGAAGTTTCTTCAGAGTGATATACAAAGAAAAATTAAAGAGAATCCTGGTGGTAAAATTAACTCTGGAGGAGGAAAAAAGAGATGTCCTACTAAGTTGAAATAAGGCAAGGAGCAAAAGGGGTAGATTACATAATAATGAATATTTATTGAACAGAGTATATTTCTATTTCAATAATTTATGTTGATATTACTTCTAATTTGTGCAAATTTCCTGAAAGGTAACTATTTTATGTTATTCTACAGAAGGTGAAAAAAATGAGACTTGAAAAAGGAACGTTACTTGCCTAAGACTGCAGAGTATATACTTTTATATGTATATGCTTTATGTATGTCAGACCTTCCTCCTTTTTCCAAAGACATAGCACTTAAACACTCTGGACCAATGGCATTGTTTGTATTGTTGTTCAGGAAAGCCCACTATCTCAGTGAACATTCTAGAAAATCCCTGTGTGATCCCTACCGGGGATGCAATGCAATAAGGACAAAATTGCTCTGGGAAGAAAAGACAATAAAGGGATATTCCTCCGGACTCTAGCTTTAATTGTTCTGGCTTGGTTAGGAACAGATTATGGAGCACATTATAGGGCACCCAGGTGCCCCCAAAAGAATAGGTAGGCAATAGTCATTTCAAACTTAAAAGCACAATACTGAGGAACAAAAAGCCACTTCTGAAATAGTACAAGTGTATAAATTTACAATTTATGCTTACCTGAACCAGTATCATTACAAATTAACTTTTATTTATGAAGTTTTTATCATGTGCTAGAAATACAGAAATCTTAAAAGGATTTGTATCTTGTATCTTAAAAAGATTTGCTCACATTTTCAACACTGATAACTAGCATCATAGAAATGATAAAAACATTTAATGCTAAGGACTACTTATTAGCCATATGCTACAAAGGCACAAGACTGGGGAGGCACCTGTGATAGGGTCGGGGACTAGTGACTATTTCATGGAAGAGCTAACACTTGGACTGAAGTCCAGAGATCAAATACATTGACAAAAGCCATTCTAGGTTTTCTGGTGAGCTCAGAGATGAGGGAGTGCCTGTTGAAACTGTGCTTCGGAAAAATAAATGAACAGAGAAACTATAATATAAGAAGCAAAGAGAATGCAGCAGTTGAAGAGAATGGATGAGGAGACTCAGTCTTTCAGAGGGACATACTTTCCACTGGGGGAGTTTGAGAAAAGGTATATGCACCTCTTCGGAAGGTCTCAACAGGGTTCGCATTCATGGCCACATGCTTTCTCTTTGAATTGCCCTCAGCATGAAATCAGGGAAGCAGTCAAAATTAGGCATGGAACAGGGTCTTATCATGTTTGTATTACTTAATTCTGTCTTAACCT